GCTGAATTTCAGCGGAAGGGCTTAAAGTCCAAAAGTTTTGGGATCTTAGCGCTTGACTTCAAACGCACGAGACCCAATCCGCAAACGATGGCAAAACGTGGAAAATTTTCGAAATTTGACAACGCGTATCGCTTACATCTTTGCCTTGTTTATTTTCTTATTTTGGGGAGGAGGAGGATCCTAGTGGGAGGGATGTTATCGGACGCTCCAAGCTAGTAGTTGTTACCTTCGAAATGCCACAGCGAAATCGAAGGTGAGAATGAGATGAGATAAAGAAACTTTCTCAAAGTAGAGGAAAGTTCTCAGCAGGAGTTCAAAAGAGTCGGTATGTGATCATGTGAATGACTTAACCTCTTCTACGGACTATAAAATTTTCATGTTAACAAGTCAGTGACGAGACGTGATATAAATAAAATTAAATTCTCCACAACTTATCTATTAGGTGCTGGCGGCCATAACATTTTGCAACATGTTTGCCGCCTGCGGCGTTACTACCTCACCTGATTCAGTAGACCCTTTTGTTCGCGCTGCTTCGTTTATGACGCGAAAGACTCTGCTCGGATCAAAAGCGGCCTCGATCGCTTTCACCATTAGAGTCAGCTTTCATTCATCTCGGTCCCTTCATCTCGGCCCCTTCTTTTCTTATGAAGAGAATACTACTTACAAGGGAAAAAAAAGGTACAGTACTTACAAGGGAAAAAAAGGTATCGATATCATGCCGAGAAAAATGGGCACTAAAAGCTGACCATAACACCAGAAGTCGTGTAGTCTGTACAAACGACTGCTCCATCATCCGTTTAGCTGCTCTATCGAGATCTGTCCCTTTCGCGAACTTCGCAATTGCTTCCATATTCACCGTCGGATCGGAATCCAGAAAGAGGCGATTCACCCAAACATCGTCATCTTGTGGTATTCTTATTAGACCTTCGAGCTCAACAGATGACACGCGTCGATCTATTGTAATTCCTTCTCCTCATGAACCCTTTGCTCCTCCGCAGATGAACTTGCTTCTAAAGGGGAACAACCAGGTTTCTCATCTCAAACCAAAAGCATCTGATGTTCTTGCTCCCCTAGTAACATTTAATTAAATAGCAATTATAAAGGTGGTCGTGTACTAGCCCGAAGGTAATAAAGATGTGATAAGTTGTGAAAAATAGACGCTAGAGAATAGACGTTCTTAGAGAAGGTGGTTCTGGTTGGGTCTTAAATTAATAACGAGTTTGGATGCTTCCTGTATCTCGTAATGCGCGTCGCGCAAGTGAGCATCTAGAGACTTCGAATCCGGCTTCAAGGTATTCTGCGAGGTGAGCGACGTGACAACTCTGGCCAAAAGCTGGGCATCTATTGTCTCCCCCATTCCGTCGCCTTCCTTTACCTCTATGTTAGAGCTCTCTCAAAGCATTAAGTCACCATCTCCAAGAGGTCCTCTACCATCTCGAAGCAAAGGACCGTTTCTTGCCGCATGACAACGTTGTCAGTCCCTGAGCTCATGCTTCTCAAAATGCGACCTGATTAGTGGTTGTACTAGAAGCCGTAAGTATGCTGTTGCAGGTGATGCCTTGATTGCACAACTTCATCACCTGGTCGCGTTCGCTCTTACACCTATCTTCATCCACGGTATCAGCATCAGTTGGATCAGGGCAACAAGCAGCATACTTCAGCGGAACAATAGGACGGACCCCCTCCACAGAATCAGGGACCTCCATTAGAGTCGGGGACCTTCATTGGCCTCCTTGGGAGGAGCGTCCTCGGCTCTATTCATTTCGAGTAGAAAAAGAGCCAGGGAGGACGGCGCTGAGGATGCTCCAGCGGTACTAGCCTTAACTTCACAGAGTTCGCTGTCTCGCACAAAGTCCTTCGTTTATATCCTGCCTTCTTCGCGGCCGAAGGGGAGGAGTGTTTGTTAGACGTATAGGGAATTCATCCCAGGGATCATCTGGGTCCCCATTCCTTCTTGTTTCGTTCTACCAGATGACTCTGGCGATGAATTCCCTACTTACACCCATAAATTTGAGTCCTTTGCCGTGCAACAGGATGGACTCTAAAGCGGACGCGAGTTTCGACTTGAATTGATCATCCGGCTTCCGCGCTAAATCGAGAAACTCGCTAGATTCCTTTTGGAACACTGCTTTGCAAGACACCAACGGACCTCTTAGAGTTCAAATCTCGAGGGTCTATCCGAAGAGGAAACCGAATAGAAAATTTCTATTGGAAATGAATGGCATCGAGCCTTAAACCGAGTTTGCTATCAGGGCCTCCGTCCTCTCTTGCCTTCTCCACGAGCATGGTGGAGTAGGGAGTTGGTGCAGCTGCTTGTCTGTACCACGCGGTGTCGAGGATATACAGCGCGCTTTGGCACAACAGCAGCGCCGCCCCTTTTGTTTTTTCATCGGAGTTGTCATTCTGTTGTACTGACAGCGATGTGCTGGTCTCGGTCTCCAAAAACAGCGAGAGAGGACTAGAAAGACCCGAGAGGCCGATGACGTAGACCGCCTGATCTTCCGCGCGAAACTTCTCTGCGTCTGTAGTTAGTGGCTCCAAAAAAAAAGCCCGCATATCTATCCTTGTCGCCCTCGAAAAGGTCACAGATATGCCTTGATATCGGTCAAACTTGCAATCCTTAATGTAGTTCTTGTTTCTTCGCTGCTCGTATAGTATTCTAGCAATGCAGACGAAGTACTCGTTGCTCCAGTGATGAGACGGGATGCCCAGGAGAACGAATGATCTTCGCGGCCGCTCATTGACGTGGTCGTACTAGACTTTTTCAACATGATCTCGGTTGTTGAGCCGTCGCCATGATGCTCCTGCGAAGTTGTTGTAGTCGGCCTTTTTTCCTTGCGTTGTTTTTTCGAACTCCATTCTCCATGAAGTCGTGGCGTTTCCAAAAAACTCGTTCCGAAAGCACTCGTCTGGTCGTGGTTCAAGGGTGCTCCACCTCCATTTGCGTCTCCCCAAGAGTTCGAGCTCACCCTCTTCCATCCTGAGGACCTTCCGGAGTCCGTTTTACCCTTAAAAACGTCTCCGGGATGCTTCCGAAGATGGATTATGGGAAGCCTTAAAAGAGGACTCGCTTGTGCCGTCCTTGCGTCGTCTGGGCTGCTGCGCCGCCGCAGTAGGTCCCTCCGACGACCCTCGAAACAGTAGTTGTGGTGCGTCCGGGTTAGCAGTTGTCCCTGCTTCACCGCTGTCGCTGTATGGTGGTCCGCCACCATGATCGTTTTTCTCGAACTCCTCGCGACGGCAGTCGACCACTAGGGGAAAAGAAACGAGGGAAAGCAACGCGAACGCGTAAAACGTCACAAGCTCACGGTAAAAACAGCTTCTAACATCGATTTCGCCGGCGCTGTGCTGTCGTCCCCAGTGCTGTCGTCCCGAGCGTGGCATTTGACAAAAACCTGTGCAAGAGGGGAAGATCTTCTTCATCTCCTATGACATAATGTCTAGAAGTAAAGATAGGTAATGTACTAGAAGTCCTTGCTGTTGAAAAAATATACTAGTTTCTCTCCGTTCAAGCTCTTGTTGTACCTACTCAATAAAAATGTCGATCATACCAGCAGCCTGGTGCAGAGGTGCAGTCGCCGTGGACTCGCACCTGCCGCCTTGTCGCTTAAGACTGTGGGTTAAGACTGTAGCAAGCGGGCTGCGCCGCCGCCTCGCCTTATTTCACAGCCTCTGTCGGAATCTCCGTCGGGCGTCGGCAAGTAGATTGCTAGGCCTCACTTTCCTCAGACCACAACTTAGTTCAGTAGGATCTGCGTACACGACGACACTGGCCGGGACACCTCAGTCAGGTAAAGCGGTCCCCCTCTCGCCATTCATCACCGGGACAAAAGTGGCCATGATTAATATCGATGGGTTGTCTGTCTCTTGATGCCAGAATTCATATGGACGCTCTCTTATCGTCCCATCTTAGATGAACTAGATTTTCCCTAAATGTACAGGCCTGAGGTGTTGTTGGTCATCGTGGCTGTTCGCTACAACGAATCAATGACTCACAAAACTGTGGCGATGATATTACGCTCGCCAAAAATATAACACTAGAGGCGTGTCTTAATCGGTCGTAAGCATTAGTATCATGCGACTGGTGGACGTGAAGGATGATGTCTAATTGTTCCCATCGTGTTCATGTGTTTACTGTTTTGCCGTTGATGTGATGACGTTAGGCGGCTCGGATTGGACCTACGACTTCCCTGAGTTCTACGAATTTGACGTTGTGGCTTTTTGTTTGTGGTCATCGTGTGTTTTGATGTATCCTATTTGTTTCAAAGGGGAAACAACGGGCGTTCACGGGTCTCTTTTTCTCTCTTCCTACTTTTGAATATTAATATCACGATAAAGATTCTTGATACCCGATATAAGTCTCAGGATGAAAGGAACGCTCACATGACCAGAGACCAGTATACCAGAGTATAATATGATGTGAAGTGTATGTAAAAGGAGCCAGAGACAGGAAAAAGGCGTACAGATTGGCGCTTTGCGACATGCAAAAAACGCCTAGGAAAGTCGTCCTGGCCCACAAATCTTGGCTGCACCAATCACACTGAAAAAAGTCATGCGAAAATGGCCGAAGCAGTGGTTCTGCGTCTGCCGGTCCAACTCTAGCGCTTTGCTTTCCTCGTAAGTACCTTTTTTAGTCTTCCTGCATTTGATGTTCATTTCTTGTGTCTAAAAAATTTCTAAAGTCTAGTTCTTCATATTTAGAAAAATTGAGCTTCGAGTTTAGTGTTCATTGAATGTCTCCTCTATTTGGAAAGCTGTCTTGTACTCCAGGGCGTGCAACCGCGAAACTAGCAGCACGACAAGCAAAATCCGCGCACTTGGCAAAAAATTTTCCCACTTCGTCATCTCCTTGACCCTCCTGTCCCCCCTCGCACAGCTCGACGTAGCGCGCCGCAAACGCGCCTAGAAAGCAGTCTCCCGCGCCCACGGTGCTCGCTGGTACTGCTACTTGGGGCGCAGGCACCCGAAGAAGCTTTAGACGCTCTTCTACCTAGTATGTGCCTCTGGTCCATCTTTCAAAGACATCTCCTATTCTTGGAAAGATTGGACTTCTGGTGATTGAAGACCCATCCCTTGTTGTCATAAAAACCGACTTTGTTGTCCTGGACCGAAACTGGACGCGACGAGGCAACCACGAGGCCCTAACGTGGCTAAGATGTGCGAAGATGAGCCTTGCGCACCCACTGCTTGCAACAGCCGAAAAACCTTGGAGCAGGCTTCCTCAGCTGCTTCCCAGCTAGTTATCACGTCCTGCTGACCCCCCACGATTCCGGCCAATTCCACTTCGTTCACGCATATTACGTCAGCCCTATTAGAGGAGCTCGTCAATTACATGGGGAACAAGATGTTAATGTTTGGAGGCTTGTAGACTAGTAGACAAGGAGAGAGTCTGACTATTATCATTCATGACAATGTTCATCTTCTGAGCAGCCTGCTGGTCACATGCCACTCACACGCACACGCCTCAAAGAAAATGAAAAACGTTCCCTGCTTGTGGAAATAAGTTGCTGAACCTTAGATAGTCAATAATCTTTTTTGCATGAGATGAAAAGAATCCTCATACGGGACTGAGACGAATGCAGCGAGAGCCCCCCATCCCCCTTTCGGTGCTTAAGTTAAAGCTTAACTGCAGATAGCACATCTCGGTAGAAGCTGGCGATTTCCGATTTTTTTTGACTCCCGAATACTGTCTCGTCGAACGCTGGAAACGATGGTGATGGAGCTATGTTCAGAATCGTCAGCGGCGAAAACGATGATGGCGCATTCGACTTCTTATCGGATCGGCGGGCTAGCGCTGGTATTAGACGATATAATCATGGAGGAAGAACTACGACGGAAAAACTAGTAATTGGTTGCTCTTTCTGCATGCGCTGGCATTAGAAGATACAGAACCCTTCTTGACAACTGGAGTAGTCAACCTCTCTATATGAAGTTGTAGCCCTGGAGTAGTCAAACTAGGAGAAACCGAAGCGCTTCCCAATCAGGGCAAGCGTAGCTCACGACAGATAGACAAAAACTAGCCTTAGCAATGCTTTCGTCGTCGCAGCCAGTGGCGATTCGAGTTGACATAAAACGACACGGCAATTCTGCAGTGCCGCAACACAGGCCGCGTTCCCCTCAATCTCGTCTGCGGTCAGCTTGTTTTTGTTAGGCGTAACTAGTTCTTGTAGGCCTTAGGTGGAAGTCTTTCATCATTCTACTCCTTTTCTAAGTGATGATAGCATTGGCGACGATGATGCTAATCGCTTCGGATTGGACCTACGACATTGGTCTTGACCATTGGTAGTTCCTATTCATGAAGAATGCTCTCTGCATACGTTCATACGGTGAATCTGATACATGACGAAAAACCGTACTAGAAGACGAAAGGTTAGTTACTTTGTTCTATTAGTCTTAACGTTGGCACCTCCTGCCACTACGATCGAGTTTGTTCCCTCCGCGACGGTAATCAGAGCGACTCCAGACGCCGTCTTTAGTTCTGTCCCCACGAATGCGTCGTCCACTCCGCTGGAGCGTAAGTTTTGGCGTGTCGCTGTGCCGATGCCATCGTCGCCGAGTTTCGATATCATTGCCACACGAAAACAAGAGTCGCAAACTGAGGCGTCTCCGAGCAGCTTCCCCGCCGCGACTGCTTGGTTGGCGCCCTTACCGCCGAAAGCCTCCTCATATTTGGTCCCTAACAGTGTTTCGCCAGGCTTCGGGAACTTCGCAGCGTGGACGATCAAGTCCTTGTTGCAGTTTCCGAGGACAACAACTGCCGTGTAAGAAGTAGCCATGGTTTGCGCGTATGTCATTGATGATGAGGCGTCTCAAGTTGACGGACTGATTCCTGCGCCTCGGCAAGACGAAATCATTCCTAGTGGTGTCTGGACGAGCTTATTTTTGATGCTATATCAAAATGTACAATTTGAATTTCCTTTAAAGAGGAAACACTAACTTTTGAGTCGCGGAACATGAACACGAGGACGCAAACCTCATGCGTAAGGAGGGGGCCAAAAGATGCGCCGACTCTGTGCGGGTTTCCGCTCGTAATCTACAGCCAAGCTGGAAGAGGACACGACTAAATCTTTAGGAGCATCTATTACCATTAGCTTTTCCTAGATTCTTGAAATGTTGCATGCTGTCATCTTGAAATTCTAGAATGACGTATATCGTCACCTTGTGTTGAGAGCAGTCTTTACAATGCGCATTGCCGACAGCAGTCTTTCTCAAACTTGATTTAATGTTGGTTCGCGCGAATGGCGCAATTGGTATGCTACTATTGAAAGAATGTGGTAAGTCTAAGTATTCCAGATCAGGACTGAGTCGTTTTCATGTTCTCGCTAAGCATCCGACGGGAGTCAGTCAATCTATGTATCAGGTTGCCTCCACAGGGCACCGACCTCCCCGCCGCTGCGACTGCCGCACCTCTACGCTCGGGAGCGAGGGAACGACGTAGCCGACGGGAAAAAATCAAAAACTTTTCATTATAAAAGATTCAGATTCAGTAAAAACGACTACATCAAATACACAAAAAGACTGTTGCAGTGAACAAACTACGAAAAACCATCATGGGATGCCACCTACTATGATGTTATGATTTTTATCTCATGATAGTGTTCCTCTTCCACCCGAACCTTCACATTTATCTTCAACAGCGTCTTTACGTCTAATCATAGACATAGTTGACAAAGATCCTGTGGACGCGAGATAGCATTTTTTTACGCAAACCAACATTAGCATTGTGTCTTCCGTCTTCTTCCAATAAACGTACTTGATACTTTGCAAATTCCATAGTGTTCATGAAAAGCGATCCAATACCAACCTTTATATATATGTCTTTCTTGTGTAATCATATAGCACATGAACCGATCATGTGATTATTCATGGTTTCATAGACTGTCTGTACAGGAATGGTGTCTCATTCCAGAATTCTTTCGACGTGCATCAGCACTTGAAGTATTTATCTAACCAAATTATCTATCGACCTGTTGTTAGCAATATCTTCTCTTAAAATGAAGCGCAATAGTTCTTCCAGCTGTATCTGCCGTAGCAAGGCGAGCTACTTGCGCTTTGTGCGAATGTTAAACGATGAAAATTTGTTATCCCGAACCCACAGTCTCCATATCATTCCTCCGAGTCATTTTCTATAGATGCATTATCGCATCAGCGTGTAACTTATTGTGAAAAAAATCCGAGAAATTCTCCTAACTGGTAATAGACAATATCGTACTCAAATCAAAACCACCCTCAACTACACATAATACCTCACGGTCGTCAATATGATCTAAACTTTCTTTGAGCCAAATCTTCTCATGCAGAACTAGCATCTTCATGTTCTTCTACAGTGTTTGCTGATACATTGAAAGACTACGTTCAGTTGTGGTTTCCCCTAGCTTGTGCCAGTCGAGCCTGAGCGAATGTTCGCTCTTCGCGCCGTCTGACTCGTTTCTCCACTACCTGAGCCAAGCACAGTCCCATCATTAGAGGTGTCGAAATTTCATTTGCTACCATCATTAGAGGTGTCGAAATTTCATTGGCTACCATAATTACAGATTTGCTACCATAATTCATTCTCATTCACGTTTCCAACCTTTACATCCTATGCATCTTTCTGCTCCTGATGCTATGATCGTGCACAATTACAGGCTACGACTTAACGTCAGAAGTATATTGAGGTAGTACATTATCAAATGATTACTTCACTCACTGTCACATAGTAACACTTAAACGTAAAACTCCCAAGAACCCTTCCCGTAACATTGACTTCGCCCACGGTTGACTCTGACATCAATTCTGTGCTTTTCGACGCACGCTCTATCGTGCCGCTTTTGTCACTCGCAGCGTCGCAGGCTGCGCCAGGGACGCTGCTAACGTTCGTTTGCGTCAATGGCCGCGAGGCAGCTAGAGAAGGAGGGGCTGCCGCTCTTGCCTGGTTGGTGCGCTGCTGAGAAAAGATGAAAGTGAGGCATCAAGAGGAAGATGTCAGTAACCGTATCTTTACTAAAATGCCTTACTATTCACTTGGTTTTCTGAAATGCCTTACTTGACTTTACCAAAATCAATGCCCTACTATTCACTTGTATTCCTTCAGTTATTTTTGAGAAAATCACGCTGATGTTGGTAGTAATCGGTAGGAAAAACATCAACAAGATGCTCAGAAATATTATAAGGGGAATAACTACAAATATGTGTCATGCGAGTGCCCCTCAGATGGCCGTTCGAGAATAATTACAAATAAGCAGTTGATCAATTACAGACATAACATGACTTCCCGCTTTTGCTGGACTTGAGCTCTTGGGTGGTGATTTCCTCTTCGGAGACGGTCCACCTGATCTAGTCCCGGTCGTGCCAGGTGGCGAAGCAGGAAGGACTCCGACAGGAAGTGCTGTGTGCTGGCCCCGATCGGAAGCTCGGTTTCGCTGATTTCCAACGTTGGACGAGAACCCAGCGAGACCACTAGAGTTAAAGTTTGCAGCATTGCATTCTTTTTGGCAATCCTTTTTCACCATTTGCTGAAAAAGGTCAAGAATGTTAGTCGAGAATGTAATGTGGAAACCCTTAATAGACGTGCTTATGGCACCGCCGTAGCTCCCTGCCGACAGCTGCACGTGCCTCGCCGCCGCCGGACTACTTCCGGCGAAGGAAGGACTCACATCTCCGCCTGCTCCCCTTGAGCGTTGCAGCGATTAGATGACCTAAGGTCGACCACCTTACCTACATAAATTTATTCATCATAAAAGACATCTTTGCCGTCGCTTCCCCTGTGAAAAACGAGACAGAGATCAAGATGCTTCGCCTTCTTAAGATTTGAATTTCTCAAGCTGGAGATGAGTCATGAAGGGAGAACTCACAAACTGAAGATGAAGTAGCATTAGACGGATCCTTAAGTCGATCTGGGTGACCCCGGTGGCGAGGCTCCCGGTGAGGAGTCGCCGCCGTCGCCCACACCAAATGGGTGTCGTGCTTGGAAGTCCTGCACCCACTCGGAGGCTGACTGGTTGCCGCCATCACTAGCGCTACTGCTGTGATAGTTCAACTTAGACGATCGGAGCCCAGTTATAATATCCATCCATCTAGTGTAAGAAAGCCTGCATGGTGGCTTAGGCTTTCCCGTCCCTGACAGGAGTATTTGCCTACTTAGAAGGTACTTATGTCCTTACTTGCGTTAGCCTTAATCAACCAGAACTCGTTCATCATCCGCCTGCGCTCTTCTTCGTTACGAGCATCCCGCTCAATGCGCCGTCTAAGCTTCGCGCGTCGCTCGTAGCGTCTCTTTTCTTGATCGGCCTCCCGCGCTCGAGCTCGCTGTCGGGCCTCCTTCCGAAGCTTTATTCTTTCGGCCCTGGTGAGCAACATCTTCAAATAATCAAGAACATTCAAAACGACGCAGATCACGTGCTATGTCAGCGTCTTCAGATTCGGAACTTAAAGTGAGAAACAAAAGCATTACAACTTTCTCTTGGTATGTTGAGTCTTTGGAAATAACTTTAAATCCAAAGAATGTAAGGCATTGATTTAACGAGCTTGATGATGAGGTTGAGACGCTTTCGCTGTAAAAAAAGATAGTACTCTGGCACTCTCGGGTCGTGCATCCTCTGTTGTTCCCTGATGAGGTCTACAACGCTTCCACTATTGCTGTCAGAGTAGCCAAATATTTCCATCTTTGCTTCCTCTGAAAGCTGTTCTGAAACGGCCTGTCGACCGTCTTCGCCCTCTGCTCTGGGCCCTCTTCCTTTTCTTGATTCCTTATTAGAAGTAGAGGTGAATGGGAGGTTTCTGGTACTAGAGAAGTATGTTTAAGATGGAGACTATTCTAGCAGCCGGGATCCAGTCACCAGGTTGGTAGAGAAGAAATAAAGCCCCTGAGGAGGAAGCTGCTAAGTGTATACTCAATTGCTCCACACTTCAATTACATGGAAAGTCGACATGTTCTAGACAGCCATAATCTTCTCTGTTTTTATTCTCGACTCGACTCGACCGGCAGAAGATGAAGCTCGCGTCGGCTCCGCATCATCATTCTTGCTTTTAGTACTTGGTTTTGGGCCGCCGTGCTCCCTACTACTTGTTCGTGACGCAGACGCACCTGGCTCGTCTGTAATGGCCATTAGAGCTAGTTTCTTTTCTACTAAATAGGGCATTTTTAGGGTCTAAGCTTTTTAGGGCCTAGGCTTTTTAGGGTCTAAGCTTTCCGAGGATCTCAACGGCATAGTGAGGGTCCGCCTTGGCTCCTCTCAACTTGATCAAAGAATCTTGACTTGTTCTAAAGGGATGACTCTAGAGAACAGGGAATTAGACAACGGATGAAGGAAGATGCACAACGACAAAGACACCCGCTTTCGTAAGTACATATCGAGCGTCTCCAGTAAGGGCGCCTTCTCCGTGCGCTGTGGGTTGATGATCGCCTCTAGCGGCGGGCCTTGGATGTACTTCTTCAACGGGTCTCTCTGAGGCTCCACATGATTTTCCAACCAACGAAAAAACTTCTTTTCTCTTAGAGCTTCAACCATAGACCATAGACCTTCTGCAAGGGCATCCTGGTGCCCGTTGCTTTCCCCTCGAGAACAAACGGGATCAGCAAGATGTGTGGGAAGATCTTTCCCCTCGAGAACAAACGGGAAGGGCAGGAAGATGCGTCGGAAGATGTATTCGCCTTGAGAAGAAACGGGATCACCAAGAAGATGCTTCTTGGGAAGATCAACATGTCTCTAATTTTTACTGTAGCCTTAACTTCAGTGTTCTTGGTGGAAGTTCTGTCGCTCGCCGCGTCAGACTCGGTTCCACCAACAGCAAGTCGATCCTCGATATTCCATACACGAGTAGCGTCTGGTCGAACACTGGACGCGTCCGAATACCTGGATGTTCAGGGCCAGAAAATCTAAGACAAGGCTCCATATCTTGCTTGAAGGGATAAGTCTATAAGTAGAGGGAAAACTAACCGGCTGCTTTACTTATGTGCTTTGAGCGTCGCTAGACGACCTAAGCCCCAACCTTATAAAAAAGAAAGAAGCCAATTTAGATTTGCAGCACACTCCTGCGAAATAGGATAATTCTTAGCACGAACCTTGAGCCAAAATGGCTACGGTTCCATATCTTCTTTCGCTGATACATCCGCGGTATCTATGAACGGGTGCTCATACAGGACGAGAGCGCGTCCAAAGTCAAAAAAAACCATCCTCCGAACAACACGTGCAATTACACTTATCGAAACTTCAATTCCAAAAAAAACTACCTTCATAAGACTTGCTATCCTCCATTATTATTCTCCGCAGTCTATTCGCTGTCATGGAGTACATCGAGCGTCCCAGCACGAGACCCGCGCTCTTCAAATGTAGATCCATGTTCTGATGAAGGCGATGGAGCGCAGTGAGCCAGTAATCATGCCGTTTCAACCGTAACCGCGTTCTTGCTCGTCGAACTCCGCGTCTGTTTTAGAACTGCTGCATTATATTTTTTGAGCTTCTGCTCCTCTTCATAGTACATGGCATAAGCGTATTCTTGGCGACTATACCTATCTTCAAGGCGATAGAAGATGTTGTAGTTCATGTTCATGTTATTAATCTTGCACAAGAATACTCCTCCTGATACTCACGTTAGAGCCTGTGCTTTTCACTAGACTATGCTACTGGAATAAAAAAGAGGGTTTCCGAGATTCATCATAATTGATGGCTTCGAACGAGAGTCGGGCATCGTATCGCTCGACCCCAAATGCCATGCCCTTGTCTACGAAGTCGGAGGCTGTTGCCTGTGTTTGCGACATTCTTGCTGCTTGAACCGCCTTTAGCTCCGCAGTTTGCAATTTATCCTGGTCTCGATCCATCTGTTCCAGTTCCCGCTGTAACTCTGGCGAGTTTTGCACCTGTGTGGTAGATGGGTAATAGTCCTCGTAGCAGGCAATGCATCTTATTTAAATGTGGATTTACAAGTTCTGGACCGACGTAGCTGCAACATCACCTGTTAAAGGACATAACTCTATCCGAAAACCGTGCAACTATCAGATGATAGTGCGAACTTCTACCTGGTGCCGTTGCCTTCTTTGATGTTCCACCAACGTTAAAAAAGTCATTACGATGGTTTTCCTTAGGATTGCCTGGCAGCACCAGAGAAAGTGCGTGTCGCCTGTTGGGGTTACTTGTAACGTATACGTTCGCATCATTCTCACCCTCCTCTCGGATAACGATAAACTATCGTCCTCCTCGTTGTCGAAGCCAGCCTGAGTTCATTTGACCGAAGATGGTCTACTCTGTACTGTCGTTCGTTCTGTTCAACAAAGGAACAACGATGAAAATCAAAAACCTTCTACTAAATCAAAGGCAAAAACGCCAATGCCTAATCGCAAAATCGTCTGATCAGAGACAAAAAAGCCCTGATCTGCAAATGCTAATCGCAAAATCGTCTTCTTTGTATTTACTACGAAAATCGTCGTAATTCTTGTACCAGAGAAAAAAAAGGAGTTGAAGATAGTATTCGTAGTACCTTTTTGAGGACGTCTGTGACGAAGGTGATCGCGTGATCAACCGGTATGATGAGGGTGTATTGTGGGTCGTATTCTGCCCACATATCCATGCACATCTGCAAAATGTTACCCACTTGGAGCTGCCTTGACTCCTCGAAGCCTTCAAAAATGACCGCAATGAAGAGGTTCAACACGATGAAGAACACGGAAATAATGAAGAGCATGAAGAACAACCACGCGATGGTCTGTAAATGTGAAAATAACAGGAAGGATTCGCGATGAGGGTGAAATATTGAGAATGAGAAACTCACGACGTCGTCAACAAAACAATTGCACGACTTCTTCAATACACAAAAATAAATTTCTTTTCTTTATCATAATATGATTAGCAGAAATTTACTTTACAGTATAAACAAGTGCTGTAGTACTGAGCTTCCACACCCGACTGGCTGCTCTAGGAAGCCTTGACTCTGCAGGAAAGCGAAGTTGTCTTTGGTTGGAGGTTGCAGATTTGCATTCTTCAACACATCCCTGACCTCTTTCCTACTGGAAAACAAGCACAGAATGGTAGTGAAGAGAATGTAATGCGGAAGCCCATAATTTGGACACTTCCATCGCTGGTACACAGGCATCGTTCAAAATCGATTGGACCTCGTACACCTCTGTTCCTAGATCCGCCATGATACTGTTCCACGCCTCACCCGTCATGCAACGAAGTAGCAGCAATAACGAATCCCAGAAGGTGAGGTTCTTAGAAGGGTGTGATCGGCATGGCGAATAAGTTTTTGACATGATTCAGGATCTCGTCTCTGTGAAGCAATCAAATTTAGTGCCCTCGTTCACCATAAGGAAAGAGGCACTTGGCCCGTAGGCTTCGAAGGAATCCAACATGATAAATGTGCTGAACAAATTCATTCCCAGCAGTCCGAAGATCATCAGCACTAGCGCCAGAATCGCACCCACATTCGCAAGTTTCGGTATGGACAGCAAAAAAGCACCCACCAATTGGTTCAGTCCGCTCAGAAATCGAATCAGGCGGAAAAGGCGTACTACTCGGAACATGCGGATAATAGAGAGAGAACCCGTGTCTCCTACGTCGAATTGCTCCAAAACGTAGCCGACAATGGATTAGAGCCTGTCACGCTTGTGAGACCCCAACTTCATAAAAATTTTTTGACTTCACCTACCTCTTAACCAATCTGCTGTAATGCAGGTGCTCCTGATTAAAGAAGAACCTATTTTGACAGTCGAACCTCTGTTGTTTGATCGCCATAATTTGAACTCAAAACACATCCAAAATCGAATCGGTTCCACCAATCCTGAAAATAGCTCAATCCGAAAGCCGCAAACTTGAGCAAGAACTCAATGTTGAAAACGCGGACATGAATACGCGGGAGGGTGAGGGTCAGGCGCGAAGACAAGAGAGGCATACCTTGTCTCGACGGAATTCAAGCTTGAGTAGATGCAAAACAAAAGAAGAGACAAGAGACGAATTCTATATATAGTGGTGGTGCCAACCTAACTAGGAAAAAACCTATATCTATATACGATAGCAGTAGAGGACAATGATAGGGACCCAGTTTTTGGAGAGTAAAAAGTTGGCGAAATACAGACGCTACAGAATGTGCACGTTACAGAATTCCTTTACACGTTTTTACAGAGTTCCTTTACGCTGCACGTTACCGAATTCCTTTAAATGCCTATGGCGGCAGAAGGGAAGATACATACATTTCTGTATGCCGCATATGCTTCAAATGTGCCTTAAATGAGGGAGAAGAAGTTGATCGGCTGAATGTTCTGGAAGAGGTCGTATGCCAACGAGTCTTCATCGGTCGGTTCAGGGTGCAGAGTTAGCGCCAGCGTTCCTCATCTCGGCCCCCTCATCTGGGCCCTTTTTCCACCCCTGTAAGTATTATTTCATGAGATGAAAAATACAAAAAAAAACAAAAAGGCACCAAGAAGATGCTGGGAAAGATGGAGAAAAGCTGGCCATAACATAGTGAACGTCATGGCCACGATATTCAGGATAATCACAGCCATGATGAAACGCTCGAATCGCTTGCTGGAGACTGTGAAGAAGAGCCACCGCTGCCCTGGAGGGAGTGTCTCCACATTGGTGATCAAAGAAGATTAGAAGGGCAGTCGACAGATTATGATGATTTGAATCTATTCGGCAAGATGCCTAAGATTTCTCTGACGATTATAATCAGAGGGAATCTACTTTTTCAATGTAGTTCTACTTCTACTTTCTTGTAAAAAGTACTTAAAAGGTCCCACTGTCCCAGGTCCCTTCGCCTGTGTTGTAGACACCAAAACGCTGGTTACTTCATGGTATACCAAAACGTTATTGACACCAAATCCAGAACCATATGCCATAAAAGAAGGACCGCGTGGCGTAGAAGATCTTCTGGCATTGGTACCACCGGTGCTGTGCCTCGGACAAGACCTTCTGTTCGTTCGTCCCTTCTTCCGCTTCCCGCTTCATTTGATTGAAATTGTCGATGATGACGCCAATCACCACGTTCGCCAAGAAGAAGTACCCCACCAAGGTAAGCATGAATGGGTCGAGGGTCAAGATTGGGTGAGGGTCAACGGTTAAGATTGATATGCATGATGGGGTGAAAATTGAGGATGAGGATCATCTTTCCACAGAATGAAAATCTAACGTTATCAATAACATAACTCATATCGAGGTGAATAGAATAAGCGCACGCCACCTCCTCCCCTGTTAAAAAAGTAAAAGGACTTTCTCATCCTCAGCATGGAGCGTGCCCGCCCAGTCAAAAATCCTGTCCATAAAATATACCCAGAAGAAGACAACCCAAAGTTCGGTGTTATCGCGGATAGGGTCCTGGAATATCCCATCCTGATCGACCACAGCAAGCATTACTACGACCCAACCTTCTGTGGTGATCACTTGGAACAGGGTGAAAGCGGCCTCTCGGATTAGACGAGGCATCATCATTACGTCTCAGGTGATTGTACAAAATCAACGTCAAGACGAAACATTTCCTGCGACGATAAAATGGCCGAAGAAGTGTATAACCCATACGCTAATAAGCACTAACAACATACACTAATTTTGTCGTGAAAACTATGTAGCAGACAAAACATATATAATATCAAGTTGTAACCCAGATGTAATTGATTGACTGATGCAGTCCTTCTTCATCATGTTGAAGACTATGTAGCAGTAGGCACGGTACTAGAGTACTCATTCTACGTTGCGACAAGCATGGTATTTACTTCTTCTAGTTCTAAATAAGCGATTTAGTATTACGTGTCATCGAGTAGTGGTCCTGCACAAGGACAACCATGATGAGATTTTTACACAGACAAAGAATGACAACAATTTCGGACAACGACAACCTGATCTTTGCACAATTTAAGTATAAATAAGGCCATAACAAAATATTGTCGAATCCCATCCCTTTCACCACTGGCGCCCAGCGCCCCTCCGCCAGAATACAAGAGGTGGCAGCCTCAATGTGGGGTTGACAGACGTCCGGACACCTACACTGAGCAATGCACTGCGCTCTGCACGTAGCGCAACCTTTTGTTAGAACTGTAATGAAGATCGCCGGGAACATGCCCAGAAGCATCTTCGTGGTCCCCGATTACGGAGCCAGGAAGATGGAAGAAGTTCTGTTGTTCTTGGAGAAGGAGTACTAGAAGTGGAACATGCCTGATCAGAAGGAGTCGTGAACACGATGCCTTAATTGTGATATACTATCCGTGCCCTCTGATTTACAGGCGTCCGAGGTACAGTAGACGTTGTAGCTTTCGGGTCCCTCGCACTGATACTTGCACTCATCGTACGTTTGCACAGCGTCGGACTCTGTGCAGAAGGCACTGAAGCAGTCCGTGCACTGCATCACGCGGTGTCCCCAGATGTTCTTGTCGAAGACGCACTTAGAGCTACTGGAGTCGCATCCTTGGTAGCATCCTTGCCCGTGGCCCTTTTTCCCCTGAGAAAGGTAGGCAAGCAAGGATGACGCTGAGGATGCTCCCTCCACGAACGAACCCAGAAGGTGTATCTAATTAAGGATTATCTAATTGCCTTAACGAACCCATGCTCTGCGCCCTCGATAGTGGGGGCCTCATGAGCAGGCACTATCTTGCTCTCTGCACAGAAAGCGTGATTACTAGCTGGCTCGGCTGCGCAATTTAACACACACATGGGAGTGTCGGGAGAAGCGCGAGCCACTGGCGCATAACGCATCTCTTAGCGCTTGTTGGACATCGAGGACTCAGTCACGATGGATAGCTGGTACGATTATCCGCGTAGAAAAGCACAGTGACTGACAGCACGCTTATGTTAACAACAATTGACTGACAGCACGCTTACAATCTCGGTGGAACCAGCCTAAGTAGCAAAAATCAAAAACGAGAACAACAAAATAATCATTTATGTAGACAAACTAAACCCCCTTAGCTCTGTATCTCCTCCCAGATCTTATTTTCTCGCGTCGCAGCATCAGGATACTGCATTTGCCAGAAGGACTCGTTGTAGGTATCCGGGACGTAGGCTTTACTGTTCGACCTCGAGGGCTGATAGATTAGAGCTCAGCCTCATCCACCTCGAGACTCATCTCGGTTCTGATTTTCCCTTCTGGGGAGGCTTAGAGATGCTTCCGAAAGTGGACGATTAGAGGAAGCCTTAAATAGAGTAAATTGGTCTTCGCTAATGAAGACAGCGCGGGAGGGTTTGCCGCACCTGCGTACGTGACGTTCACGTGGGCAGCGGTTATCTCACTCGCGGGCTCGAAGAAGGTGTACCGCAACTGCTCGTAGCACATCCTGTTCGATGACCAGTAGGACGCGTCTGTCCTGAAGTCCACTAGAGTGCGCTCGTCCGTCGCCGAGCCATAGAATGAACGGGTGGATTAAGTAGATTTGACGTGCACGTACTAGGCATTAACCAGCAAACTGCAGCGCAGAGTCTACATCGAAGGAACATGATATGATCATAGAGCTTAGTAACAGTACTTAGTCGTGAGTACATATAATTTTTTGTGCATGAAATGTGGAAGTATTTCATGCTCGTGCTCGTCCTGCTCTCTCTCTCTCTCTTTCATAAAGCTGCTGCCGCCGCTGCCGCCGCTGTCGTCGGTAAGGTTGTGTGTCGCAATTGAATGTAGGGATCCTCCGGATCGATCTCCGGATAGCGTGCATAGGTTACGAAATTGTAGTTGTCGCGGTCCATGCAGTAGCCGTTTCTTAGAGATTTTTGCGGGACTCGCTAACTCCTCAGTTGTAGTACCTGGCTTCTTTTCTACTAAGAAAAAGGCCAAGGATGGCAGTGGGGAATAATGTCATTCGGAAACCCTTAAGTTTCGCAGGTCGTTGCAGTACGAGTCTCTGCAGGTCGAGTTGTAAAATTCCATGGGCGATCCGCTGGAGTCTTTGCATTCGTTAAGCGCGCCTTGCATTAGATCAGTTGTCGGAATCGCATCCAATAATCTGGCAGACCTTGCAAGACCAAAAAAAAGAAACCATGCAAGGGCATCCAATAGAACACACAGACAGACCGTATCACTAAAAGCTAAAGTTTTAAGATTAGCAGTTACAACTAATTCCATTCACGTGGTTAATTATCGAGGTTCAAATCATTCGGCATAATTTCAAATATGAGGTTGCGAAGACTCCGAAAAGCAGGAGGATGAAGCCACCGAATACGCACAGCGTGACAAGCTGTGGGAAGGACTTGAACAACGTGGTTACAACTAGTTTCAAATTCGGGTTTCTGCTGATCATGCGCAACGGCCGCAACGTGCGGAAGAGACGCAGTACTTTCAGAAAGCTACCGCCGTCTACCACTTGCAACAGCTCAATCCACGCAACACACACTACGATAAAATCGAGGATGTTCCAAGGATCCCCAAGATATGGCGTCTGGTACTCTGTCGTGTACAATATCTGTGGTGTACAATATGATGTTGGGGCGGTAGGGAAGCTGTAACCGCTATTCTACGGATCTTCTGTACTACTAGAGCCTTCACTAGTTAGCTAGTGCTAAATACATGGTGCTACTCACCACGATCCAAATAGTTATTACGGGCTACTCGCATAGACTTAGATAGTGAGGAAGATGACTCTAGTTTTGCAACACATTGATCAGAACATTTGATCATGGATAGACTCTAGATAGTGAATAGTGCTACTCAGCACTTACTAGATACAGTGCTACTCACTCACTATCTACGTCTTCTATAACGGTTGATCATGGATAGACTCTAGATAGTGAAACGGACCAAAAAAATACCGCGCAGAGACTGGAACTTGTGCTTCCGGAATGCTTTTCCACGTCATCGTCGATGTCCACGACCTCTGGTTCCTCGTTCTCCTGATTTCCGAAAACAGCCAAAAGACTGCCTCCCGATTTCATCTGAGGAAAAAAGCGATTGAGGAAAAAAGATTCGGGATTCGGTCATGTGTGCTGTGTGCGACTCTCGATGTTGGAGTCGGTTGTTGTTCGTAGAAAACAAGTTACCAGTGCTTGTTCGAGCCGGTTGTTTGGAAAACCACCATTTTTGCTCTCTAGTTATGATATTAGTCAGCATACTTCTCTGACGGAAGGCTAAGGATTTTTCGATAAACACATTCCAACATAGTATCAATAGTGTTCTTATTGAAGATCGTCAGGAACTACAACGCCTTACCGGTCTCACTCGTAGAAAAAGGAAACATGTAGATCTACAGGTAGACAAAGAGATACGCTTGCCCGGACAGCAGCAGCTGCTCTCTCCGCGGCAATCATTCGTTCGATCTCTTCGACCCCCTCTTCCGTATCATCTTGGTCCTCGCTTGAATCTCTTCTTTTGATGTTCTCTCCTCGCGCCATCGAAAGCGTCTTTGCCGAGCCTGAGTTCATGGATGCCCGCGCTCGCTCACCTGATGTTGATGTTTGTTTTCAGGGAATAGGGGTTTTTAACTATAATTCCAGATCTAGAAGTACCTCTATCACTTTTGCTGGTACAAAACAAAGTTGGAAACATAGTTGACGTTTGTACTTGCAGCATCTTCTTGATGTTGGTCAGTAGAAATCTTATCTTATCATCACAAAAACCCTCCATACGCTCCTCTTCCCACGTCTTGAGCTGGTCTCTTCTTCTTCGTTCTTAGAAGTGGTTTCCAACTAGCAATGGTTTCCCCTAAAAATTTCATTGGCCTTACACTTCAAGAAACTTATTTTACGCAATTATCTTGGTTTCCCCTAAAAATATGACACAATTAATATCTTCCTTTCTGTGCATTTCTTCTGTAATTCGTCCTATCGATTCTACTACCTAGCAGTACAGTACTACTCCAATCTGCTTAATGTTCCTCCGCTTCTTCGTCTTCGCGCTGTCGCTCCTGCTCTTTCTGGAAGGCCTTTTCCTCTACCTCTTGTTGCTCCAGTTCCTCCTGCAGTTCCGCAAATTGCTCGGGCGAAGGATTGTTGTTCACACGGGTTAGAGCAGTCAAGAAACGGGTTAGATCATTTGAAACGCTCTGATGATAAGCAATCAATTATATATTAATTTGACGAATATAATATTATGCTTCACACCCCCGCTGCGCCAACGAACTTCTTCAACGAATTGACTTCCTCGTCTGAAAGAAAATATGCCAATCCCGCGGCACCTATCACTTATCAACCCGTCCATCTCCATTAATCCGTCTATCATAAAAGCACACCCATGGCGATCATTTTCGTGACCATCTCTATGGTGAAGATGATTCCGAATACCCAGTCCATCGCGAAATAAAATTCTTGAATCGACTCCCGCGGGTCGCTCAGAGGCGTATTCACAACCATCAAAATCGAAGACGCCGCGATACAAATGAGAATAATCTGGAGAAGGTTATCGTGTTTGATGGGCATGGGACTGTTTGATGGGACAGAAAGACGATGGGATAGGATAGGATGAGATAGTAGGATAGGATAGGATCATGAGATAGTAGGATAGGGAAAATAAGGGTCGTGTGGCAGTTACTTAAATTTTGAACGCTCAAGAACGTGTAAGGTTCAAGGTTGTGTGTTGTAAGATTCAAGGTTATGGATACGATTTACGAATATGAAATAAATCATCTTGTGATGTAGTAATTCAACGATGTATCAGTATCTTCTACTCCACTTTACGTCACTCGATGTAATAAACCTCGTTAGGTTCTCGATGTCTGGCCAATGACTGTTGCATGGAATGACATCTATACGAGAACGTAGTAAGATGTAATAAACCTCCCTTTTTTGTAAATTACGTAAGTAAATACTTATACCTGATCAAATTTTGGGTGTTTCATCAGCCGCCTCGCGCGTTCTCGTGTTGAAAGGTCGCCAGCCGCAAACGGCGATCTATGGTCTGAACTAGCTGAGGAGCCCAGGTCGAAGTCGTCCTTAGAGGTAGTCAGTCCTTCGCGTCTTGCCGGTAATCTTCCTAAGATACCGGCAAGACGAAACAGATCCGACCCCTCTTTATTAGAGTATCTTTTAGCTCGTCTGTTCACGTTGTACCTGAGAGCAGCTTAAAGAAGATTCTCTGTGTAAAAGATAGGTTCACGGTAGCCTTAACGTCAGCTTCCGTCAAATCCATATCGTCCATCTCTCTTTTCTTGAACCACGATTTCGGGTCGAAGCATTTCTTCATGCTTTTCCCGCAAGACATCATCCTAGCTTTCAGACGCTGTTGAAAATGATGCGTGGGACTTCCAAGGTAGTTGTGGCTTTTCGGATTTTTTGATACAAGGGTGAAAAGCTATGTGCTGGCTCTAGCATGAAAAAAGACAGGAATGAGCACAAGTTCACTGATGTTATGACGCCTAGTTGTTGTAGTATCTACTGTAAAAATTCACAACAAATAGGAGGATACATTGAAGATGCTCTTGAAGATGACATAGTTTTTGCTGAGTTGGTCGTTGAACTTGAAAACAAGATCTATTATTAAGGTTCGAGAACAAGAACATCATAGTTTCTACGTGCATGTACTTATTCTCAATGGTATCCTCCTCGGCAGTACCTCCATAGTCGTCGCATCTTCATCATCATGATGCTGATGTCCTCTGTTCTCTTTCTCTAATCCAATTTGCTGCTTCATTGTGTGAATCGCCTCCGCATTGATTAACGCTAGTTTTTCCCCATGCCTGGTTGAATGACTTGTCCTCTTCCTCCCTTATTTTCCCCTTTAAATCAAGGGGCACTTCCCTCCGCATAGTCCACGTGGGATAGTGAAAAACTAGCCTTAAATTAACGTCCTTCGCGTCGTGCTCGTAATCCTTCTCGAGAGACATCATGATCTCGTCTAGACCCTTAAACTTGAATAGAAAAAGACTCCGACTCCCCAGCGTGATGCGCTTAAATGTCAACATCCGCCGTCTACATCGCCGATACGTTTTGGGATATGAAGAGGGACGAGAACAAGTTGTAATGTGTGTATTGTCGCAACATACCATTGTCAGAACTCGACATACTAGAGATGTGCGGTCGTACGAGAAAAGAACTATTGGTGAGCCATTGGCTCTACTTTGACTTTGACGCCAATGAAATGTCAGTCTAAGTGTTATACTGTCAATATCATCCAGCAAGACACCATCTTCAACATGTCCGGTCTATTAAAAACAATGCCCATAAGGAACCATTGGATTCGATCATTTTGTACGCCCGCTTGAGAGATAACACCACCCACAAGAGCGCAGCTTGAACGGGACCTAGATCGTCCCGCATGAGGATCGGCACCGCTGGCGCCGTAGCCGGTATATCTTTGAACGGGTCTTTCCCAGTCTCGCGTTTCAGGCACTGTTGAATGAGAAGTTGTAAAGTACAGTGATGTCAATTAGAATACATTAATATTTCTTCGGGAACAATGAAGGACCTAGAGATATAATTGACGAAACTTCTTGACGCAGAGGAAGGTGCCAGAAGATAGTATCAAGTCAGATGAACCAACTAAACAGCCTTTCCACCTCTGACTAAGCAAGACAAGTTGTACCTGCGTGTAGATCAGTTTGAGGTTCTCCAGTGGCCCACCCAGAATGAGCCGCTTTCTCCGCAGTTTCTTCGTTCTCGCATTTTCCTCGTCAATCTTCTGAATCTGCAATGCTTCCACTAGTGTCCTATTTTTCTCCGATTGCTCCTCGAAACTGGACATCAAAATCGCCACAAACAAGTTCAAGACTAGAAAACTTCCGAAAGCAACCACAAGATGGATTAGAGAGATGCCATGTGAAACTATATGATTTTCATTTTGGTTATACACTTACTTCTATGTAAGGAAAGTCCACATAGAGAGTATGGCAAAACTTTAGGATATCTAGCCCCAGTATTATAATTATTCTAAAATACGTCTTGTCAAGCTACTCGTGCAATCTCTATATCCGATTGCATCTTTATAAAACAGAAACCTAACAATATAAATCTCATCAACAACTCAGCTTTTATCGAGAACATAAGAGGAACAGCATGATTAGTATGAGTAGTACTTGTAGTACTCATAAGAGAAAATACCCCGTTGCGATTGCGCCGCCAGCTTTCATGCCGCTGAACATGATGCTGGGCCAATCCTCACCTGTGAGCATCACCAATATCGTGGTCACGGCCCAAATGAAATTGTCAAAATGTAAGCGCTCCCGACAGTCGTCAATCGTCGGACAGACGGCCTGGCACTCTGGTGTGTCGTACTTGCCGACACCACCGCACTCTTCTACCCAACGACCCGCGTTAGAGGCTACGCTATCACATTCCTCAGAACATCCCTGGCCTCTTTTCTACTTGAAAAAGAGCCAAGGACGGTAGTGCGGGATGTAGTTCGGGGGGCCTTAACCGTATCAGGCTCGAAGATAAGGATTGCTGCGAAAAACGTCTGTCCCATCAAGGCGAAGACGCCGATCATGAGAAAGAGCAGAACTGCAAATTAGAGGGCTGCTCTAAGACTTGTCAGTAAGACTTGTTCCATGCAAACTGGTTCTGATAATCTGCATGCCTGTCTTGTAGTGCTCAAAAAATCTTTTTACGAAGAACCTGAGTAAAATAAACAAAGCACAAGAGCACTAACTCAGGTTAGGTTGGCTTAGGTGTTAGGGTAGTTTAGGTTCGGTTAGGTTAGGTTTTGGATCTGCATCATCTTCCTAGCGTCTCAAGTAGTCCTCCTAAACTACCGGCAAGATCTGCATATTTGTTGCTTACTAAGTTAGTAGATTGTGAACAGTACTACAGTGACAGAGCCTTAAGTGAAGTTGCCCAGCTGCAGAAAACTGCGGTACATGGACATCATCAACAAGCGCAGTGACTTCCACCGCCTGGCGAGACGGAATAAACGCAGCAAACGCAAACCACGCAACGAGGTGAGCGGCGAACCACCGGCGGCTGCGGTACTCAACTCCAGTACCGAAGACAAGACGATCACACCATCGAATGCGTGGGCTCCCGTAGTCCAGTATGCTATCAGGCCGATCCCCATGTGAGCCGCGACAAACTCGAAGATGAAAATCACAGTGCAGACGAAATTGAACTGATCAAACAGGACAGACGTTGCGCGATCGGGTGCCGGCCACTGATCCAGCGACAAAATGATCACATTGAAAGTGATCACCAGCAAAATAAACAGCTGGAAAGTGGGCCTGATGAATGAGAGGATGAAAGAAGAACATTCAGTGGATGAAATGCTTTTATACTCGAAGAAAAAGCAGCCAGGTCAATGCAATTGCGTGCTCTTAGCATATTCCATTCCTTTCTACCAATATCTAATAAGCGTACATCCAGTTCTTGTACAGTAGTACAAATTGTAGAAGCTAATCGCCCAGCGACAGATGGGGTGGTAGTTCAGGAAGATCTGCCGATGCTGGATACTCTGCTCCTTGACTGTCCGCAAATGGCCCTCGTGTTTTTCGAGATACTTTAGAAGAAACTCCTTTCGCTCCAGTAACTCGTTGTCCTTGGCCGTTTGTGCTCTGTAGTGTTTGAAATTTCAAATCGATGCTTGATCTGGCTACTAGTGAGGTAATCCTCACGCGCGGGTGTACTGTGAAGAAGATAGTGATACAGTCATAGCGTGAGTGTGATCGTGTTCGTGATTGTGAGAAGGATTCAAATCTATGAATTCAGGAGCATAGTGAGTGTGTTGAGATGGTCTTTTAAGGTGACATCCCTTCATGCAGCATCAAGATCAAGCATATAAGCATAGATATTAAGTTAATGTTAAAAGTTGTAACACCGATGTAAGTATATGATCTTTTTGCTCTTCTTCTTGATGATCACCTTGTCCTCCTACAGCGATATAAACAAAGATATCAAAATACGCTTTGACGCTCATCTTGGTTCGTTTTTTGGTCTTTCGCTGACTAGTCATGGTGCTAGTCGCTTCGTCCCATAGGTCTTCTTTTTCTGAGGTGTTCGTATCCTTTCCTTGCAATGTCGGCTTCGGGGTTTCTCGGACACTGCTTACATTAGAGGAAGCCTTCGGTGGAGTCACATTCATTATTTGCAAGAAAAAGAAGCATGAGAATGAGCTTGTTGGCCTTATCAAAAATCTACTCTGTAATGATCTGGAATAGTGAAAAAGCACTACGTTATTTACATTCTGTTACTTTTATCCAAAAATGAAAGGGCAGTCATCACTTCATAACAGATTCCTTGCTTCCGCTTCCTTGCACGCGAGATCCTCCAGCCCTCATCGCAAACTCCGGATCGTCCGCAAATAATCGAGCTCGGCGCTTAGAAGTTGCTGGATGACACTGCTGGGTTCATCATCGCCATGGCTTCCCATATAGTACTACTAGCTTAATGGCAGGACAACTAAATGTAAATAGTTTGACTCACACACTACTTGTAATTGTATGAACACGACCTACAATTTGCTTTCCTTTTACTCAACGGTGCACAAGAACTAAATAGATAGTACACCAGTTTCATCAGTGCAACAAACTTCGAAGCAACGTCTGGTACTATCACTAGTCGCTGAAATTTCGGGTTTACTTATTTACAAGACAAAGTCTATTGTCCACCATAATATGAGCTGCAGCCTCTGCTTCTCGCTTCATGTCCAACAGGAAGGTCACTGTTGTCGTTAGAGGCTGCACCTTTGCATTCTTCAGTTCATTCCTGACCTTTTTCCTACTGGAAAACGAGTTAAGGAGTGTATTGTGGTCACCCTGAAATGTTTTACTTGTGGTAACCCTGATTCACTGAAGAGTGCATTGTGGTAAACCATCTACAAGAGTGCATTGTGGTAACAACCCTTAATGTAGGATTGTCTTCGTCATTCTTGGTTGGTTCGAATATTTCTGGATCGATCAACCACGGATTCTTCTTCGGTGGAGCCTGAAGTTTCATTTTTCCTCCATTTTCTGCTTAGACGAGAAAACAAAGCAAACTGAAACTCTCGGAAACATCCATTTATTCATTCACTTACCTGTTCTAGAGGTATCCTCTCTGTAGAAACTTCTGTGAAATGCCAATGCGAAGTGAAAAATAGGAGTCATTTCACCAACTACAACATTCTAGAAGTAGACTACTAGCAGGACAAACGACAGGAGCTCCATCATGGTATAATACTGTTTCTTTTTACAAAGTAGACCCTGAGTAGGGTTTAGCGTGTTCTAGCACTCTAGAAGGAAGATTTGGATTTACGGTCACAATTATGAGGGATTGGTAACCTCAACAGCCTTAATTGTTTGCATTAGCTAGCAGTCCTCCAAAAGCGCCTCCAACTGCATGCATCCCCCCTGAACTCGCCTTCCCTCTCACGGTATTCAACAGGTTATTAGAAGGTGTTAAAAGACGCCCTGAAACGCATCTTTGCCCGACTACTGCTCCGGTAACATAATTCATTCTTCGTCTTAGATAAAGATATAAACCTCCTGAATTAGTGGTACAAAGAAAAGACGGTTATTCCTGAAGGAAAAAAAGAATCCAGAAATGTGCTGCTCGTACTATCACGCGGCCTTAAGTTTATTCCTCCCGGCGCCAGACTTGAGTGCAGTGCGAAGCTTCAGCAGCGCCCTATGCTTTGCTTTCTGCTTCGCCACTTTCTTCAGTTTTGTCCGCCACTTATCTCTATCTATGGTACTCTCTAGGAACTCCTGCTGTCGCTCTCCCACCTTATGGTCACCCTTCACTTGTTGCTTCGTTTCTTAGAGTGATCATCGCTGCATGATGTCATGAAGCCTCTGTGAATGAACGATTACGAAAAAAATTACGAAAACAGGCTAGTACGGAGTGTAGGTAGTAATGTGGAGACCACACACAATCGTAATTCTTTTTCTTCACAATCGGTCCGCGTTCAGCTCGGCTCATATGCCTCTCCACTCGTTCGTCCACTACCATGTCGAACAGCCCTTCATCAGGTTTTTTCATGGATTTTCGGAAAGAACTTGATTTAGACGAGAAGTTGGGACTGAGTTATAGATCTCTGATCTAAAGACTTACCAAATCAACCTCGAGCGGTTAGGTTAGGTTATGGATCCTTCACATCGAGCTGCCCCGGACTCTTAGCTCAACTCCGAGGATATTAACAACCAGTCTCTACACATCAAATTCACGCGGCCATAATATCTACCGCTCCAGCCTCCTCCGCCTCGTCGTCTAAACTGGCACTTGATCCGAGTCCTGGCGAAGTAGGTGACCCCTTTCGCGAGCTTGGACTGTCAGGAGATGCAAGATTCTGCACGCTCGCACTGGAGCCAGCAGGAGGCAACAGCTTACTTAGAAGACTTGACCGATATTCCCAAACCTTACAACCGATAAGCTCATCTAGGGAGTCTCATCCTTGACCATCTTCTCCTTTGAAAAGCAAGGTGCCTCCTTATATATAAGATAAATCACTAGTTGTATAATGGGAGGTGCTCCTTATAAGATAAACATAAATCACTAGTATAGAGTCAGAGAATAGGCAATATAGGGATAGGAGAGGAACGAGGAAGCAACACAGGAATCACAGGAGAGGAAAGGATACAACAACAAGCAGGTCAAGGCTATAATGGGAAGCCTTAATTTACCCAACAAAAAGGCGGTACTAGTCCCGTTACCCTCGCCTTGCTTGTTAGAAGAGGATTCAGTATCGAAAAAACTTGTTAATGGCTCCTTTCAAGATCTCTTCGCAAAGTACCAGTACACCCATCAATACCCCTTTAGCATGATATCCTGACTACAATAAAGTACAAAGAACTGAGAACTACATCCGCGGCCTGCAATCATACTTACAACATGATCCGCCCGCAATTTTACAAAAAATGTCGCTGTGATGTCATTGAAAATTAAGAACAACAAAAAAGGAACATCAACATGCACAACAACAAAAAATGTGATGACTCAAATCTACTCGGCAGCTTGCCTGCGATTTCCCTGAGTGTTTCTTGACTACACCACTCACGACAAAAAAGTAGACTTATCGTAATGCCGGCGACTGCCTTGTTTGTCGGTACCCATTCTTTTACCGTCTCCTGCGGGAGGAAGGGTGCAGCTTCGTCATCAAGTTCGCCCATCACCCCTAAGTTTATTGTCCCGCCATCAACAAAATCGTGATCCCACATCTTAGAGAAAAGGAGCTCGTCTTCGTCTTCGCCTGTTTGTTTTTGTGTACATTTCTAAAGTTTTCTAGTCTACGCCTCGGCTAGGATAGGATAGGATAGGATGCCTCGGCTTCGCCGCCACACAAGGTGACAGCACCACTCCGGCGGATTGTGGGAGTCTGGGAGATATTAAGTACCTACGCAACGAAAGGTTCTTGGCTTTCTTCAGAAGCCAGATATAGGGCCTTAACATCTTGCTCGGATCCGGGCAATGGCCTGGGACCCATGCCCGCCGCTACTTGGACTGTCCCCTTCCGCACGCTGTGTTCCTTGATAGGGTCTACCTTCCGCACGCATTCTCGGAACGTAGACACATTCGAGCAGCACTGTAGCAAAACTATTCCAGAATAAAGGATTCGTACTAGATAGGAGATGTATTCACTCAGAAATCATGAGGACTCACGACGTTTTTCAATGTAATCCAAAAGCCCGAGAAGTTCTTCGATTTCTTAGGGTTCGGTCTCTAGTAATTGATATGAAGAATCGGATGTCTCTTAGAGTTCACCATGGCATCTGACTCTAGTAATGAGGTATACCTAGCACTTTTCAAAGTCTAAATTTCTAGAAAGAATGGCATCTGACTCTAGTAAAAATTGATCTATTACTATCTCACTGGTCGTGAGATGAAATAATATCAATTTGGGGTCGGGCTACAGATACACTTCACTACACTTTTGCCATAAGCACGGACTTCGGGTCCTGCGGATTTACCTTTAACTGCTTCTGCAGCTTGCCTTTTCCCTTTCCCTTACTATTAGACTCGGCACTCATCCAGCTTGGCTCCCTCATCTCGACCCCTTTCCCCTTGTATTTCATGAGAATACAAGAAAAAAGGGGATCAAGATGCCGAGAAAGATGGACAAAAGCTACTTAACCATAATACTAAAGAAGGCGTGCATATCCTTCATCGTTGGCGCTGCTTTAGTTAGACCTCACATACATTCATCTCTAAATGCATCTTTGGCGTGTTCTCCTTTTAAGAAAGGAGCCAAAGATACATCTTAACATGAATTGTTTTGAGCCTTAATGTAGGTGCGGGCACGCCAAGAGGCACCACTGGTGTTGATGCTTGCGCAGGAATGCCCTGAGAAAACATGCTGGGTAACGCCTGTCCCGTCAGCGCTGGCGCAACTGACGCCTTTTTGTTTTCTCTACATGAAAGAAGAAAGGGAGGGAGGATCGATTGATTGATTGATATCCCTAGTAGTACTCCTCGACTACCGAGGCTTAATTAGCTGTGCCGCAACTTTTCGTGCCCAAAGCTGCAATACCTTCTATAATGTCTTGCGTGTGGTCCTTTTTTAATCATCTTTCGATTAGTGGTGTAGAAGCCTACAAAGCCAGTAGACGACCCGTACAACCCTTACAACTACACATACACT